TACCCACCTCTCCACCAGTCCATCTCAAACTAGAACCCGTCTAACACTTTATTGTAACGTAAGATTCGTGCACATTAAGATAGGCAATGTGAACTGTATCGTGAGAGAATCTTCTAGTATATCTATTTTTCTTCTTCGTTGTCAAATTCAATTAATGAGGTAAACTTTGACTTTTCATTTATTCTAGAACATCAATCAGTACGTGCTTCTATGAACCTTTCCATACATTCCGTAAATTAGATGGTACGTAATTTACGTGATAATAATGTCTAATTCAAATTTCATCTTCGTAAGCACTTCACTCGCTAGAGCATGGGATTCATTCGCTTACATTCTTACTAGCATTACAAAAAGATCTGTCGGCTTTTTTCTCGTGTCTTTCTTCATTCATGGTTATAAATTTTGTTTATAATTCATTAAATAGGTAAGTTTATAATAAGCAATTCTTTTATTACGTTCATGTCACTTCGTAGAATGGGAATGGAAGTCGACTGGGATTAGTAGGGCAGGAGCGGTGAGGTTGGAGGGTTTTACATTTTTTTTTTCTTTATTTGTTTACGGTTTTTATCGAATATTTCAGGTGTCCATCGTTGGTAACTCATAACAGTTGCATAGATCAAAACGATCGAATAAAGATTGTTAGTGCTACAAAAATTAAAAATAATTCCAAGAAATAAAGACTAAAAATGCAAATGTTATATTTCACATAAGTTGAAATTCCCTTGCAAAAAAAAAAAAAAAAGTGTTAATATAACTGGTCAAAAACTTGTTTAGAATAAAATTGAATTTATTATGTTAGCTTGTTTGAAAAATAAGCCAGGGACCTTAAATCAATTAATAATCCATTAAAGAAGAGTCCAATCAACCACAATGTTTTGAATTAGGGGAAAAGGTCAAGCCATGATTTTTCATATTCTATTTCGGCTAATTATATTCAGGTTAAACGATCAAAGGTTGTAGACATTTATAAAAATCAAAATATATATTAAACAAAGAATCTCTCCTTATCATATTCATTATATCATTATTCCTAATATTCAATTAACTATCAAATCTTGTCTTTGATTACAATTTCTGTCCGAAAATTGAGCGAGTAAAAAGACTTATTTCTGTATCATAAATGAGCAAAAACTTTTTTTCAGGTGAAATACCCTCACTCGAACTCAGTTGGAAGCCAAGCACGCTGGCCTAAGTAAAATAAAATAACAAGAAGTAAAAATTGTGAATAAATATTTGCCCCTGATTTTAAGCACGCTATAAAAAAATTTGGACGAAAATCGTTGCCAGGACAAAATTTGCTAATTAAAGAGAGGCTAAAGATAAATTGAGATTAAAAAAAAAAGTTATGATCATAAACAAGACGATGAATAAATATATAAAACCTTTAATATAATTAAAATACGATGCGTCTTTAAAAAAATGTGGTGTGATTATAACCAATCTTTATTTTTGTACCTTCACCATAATTTTGACTAAAAAAAGTTTTATTTACACGACAGAAGACAAATTTAACCTCGTTGAAGTCAAAACACGTGCAATTATTTGTCAAAGCTAATTCTTATTCAACCATCTATGTGTAACCTTCTTTCTCGTCTATCAAAATCATACTTGACGTTAAATTGATTGATTCAAGTTTTTCACACTTTCAAATGTAAATAGAATTATAGGTCATCTAGAAGAGGTTCACACATTTTGGTGGTATAGTATTTGGTCCAATTCTAATAATAAAAATGGTCAATTTCAATCACTTTTAGACTAATAATCCAACGGTTCAGTTCTTTCTTAATTTTAATTTCAAAAATTTCAGATTGATTTGATGAAGTCGTCTCGATGAGAGAGCAAGACAAAAACTTCATACTCATAGTTTAAACATTGCCACACTCCTTACGTTAAAATTGATTGATGTTGTGACATTATTAAAGAAAAATAATACACCAAAATCTTATTCACGATAAATTCAATCTATTTAAAAACAAGTACTAATCATAAAGGGATGGTATCAAAGAAATAGTAGGTCAAGTTCTTAATCCAACATATCATTTTGTGCATAATTTGTTATGCTATCTTTATTCAGAATTTGTGACATAAACCCTAATAGATGTTTAAATATCAACATAGGCTTGATTCCACCAACCCTCTACCAATGGACGGCAACTGCTCTTATCCCTTGTTCAAAATAATTTTTAAGCTCAAAAGTTATACGTAGGTGCACATGTTCTACTTAAAATGACTTAGAGGGTGTTTGGTAGAGATTAAAATCCGATTAAAATTGAAAAATTAGTCGTTATTGTTGACTTTTATTAGATGAGTGAGACTCAATAACGGCTATATTTTCAATTTTAATTGGATTTTGAGCCGTACCAAACAGACCCTTAGTCCCTATTTATCATCCTTTAAAAATTTTAAATTGTTTGCTGCAGTATCATTTTCAAACACACATTTACAAAATAAAATATTATACACACAAACTAATAAAATTTCGTTACTTTTTAACCACAGATTCTCCATGAATCTACTACTTTATAATACATTAGAAGAAATTAATGGCTCTCAAACAGGGCCTTGAACATATAAGGGTGTAAATTGAGAAATTCAAGAATTTCAGGTGTTTAAAGTTTCAAATTCAAAAATCAGGGACCAAGTTTCAATCTTCAAAAATCAGGTACTATATAAAAACCCTAACCCTAATTTTTTACCCTCGACCCACTCCTCCTTCTCTCTCTCGCCTGATTTCCCCTCCCCCTTCTCTCTCTCTCTCTCTCTCTCTCGCCTGATCTCCCCTCCCCTCCACTCC